TGCATAAACATAAACATAAACATAAACATATAGGTTCATTTCGGGGGAAAAAAATTACGATTTCATAGCCATTGTGTTTTTATTCTGAATATAACGTTGATGTGGGTTTGTAAAAGTTGGATTTCTCAAAACAGAATTTTCAGTACTTTTTATATCCCTATAAAAGTTGGTGGAAATTATATAGACATGTGTTTGCGTTGTGGTTTTTGTTTAGGTTAAACCTGTCGACAATGTCACAGTGCTCCATTATCCTTCCCCTTAATTAAAATAAAATCCCGATTTCTTTCTCCCTATTATGAAAAGTTCATGCAACCAACGGCCAGAGGTAAAGAAATGAAGAGGTGGGTGCCAATAGTTTTAGTGAATTTGACAAATGAATCCATATATTTGAGTTGTGTTTTGTTTATATTTTTTATTTTTCAATACTTTTTAATTCTCTCCACAGTCCCTTCCATACCAGTCTGTTTAGCACAATGCCTGCATTAATTCACTGACTAAAAGGTTGAGGTAAGATGAGTAAAGAAGAAAAAAAATACTTGACTGGATGCAACATTCACTGTAAATGCATGGGGATACATTGTAAGCACTGATACCTCAGAACAAATGGTTTGTGGTTCAAATTGCCCCTCGTACACATTTTGCCTATTTTGCAGAATGTTTTTTTTTTTTTTCTTTGGTTCACCACAATCCAGCAACGGTCTGAAAAACATGCATGTGAAGTTAAACGGTGATTCAAAGTGTAAAATCCTGCCTCCCTTACATTCCAGGGTGTACCCTGCCTCTACCTTAATGACAGCTGAATAGGCTTGAACCCTGTAGTACTATTAATAATAAACTTTTTTTTTTTATGGATGGATGTCAAAAACATGATCAAATGGAATGTTTTTTTTTGTTTTTTTGGGCTGTCGAAAATTTGCTGAATTGTTGTTTGGACACAATCTTAATAATGACTTAATTCACCCTATTTTATTCGTTTTTTTTATTGTTCAATAGAATTAAATTAAGGTATACCCTGTATAAAATAAACAGTCCTTAGTGAAGCAGAGCTTTAATAAAGACTGAGGAATTGTAAAAGTTTGAGCACCTATGTTGCGTATATTATGCATAAAAGTTTATCAACCTTTAGAGTCCATTCTGCATTTACTGCAAAAAGTTCGCTCAACACACCCTGTTATTTTGGGGCCCATTATGTTTTTGTTGTTAATGATATGAGTTTAATAAATAATTTTTTTTTAAGAATGGTCATTTATTAAAATAAAATAAAAACTCCCCTGCTTTTGCATCCACTGATACCCTCAGACATATATACATTGACGCCGCGTTAAGCCTGTTGGTCCGTTGAAGCGATACGTCAGAGTGTCTGCCATATTGGATGTGGCAGAACTCCCTGTCAACTAATACAAGGAAACGGACTGAACTCCATAAAGCGCCTCTGTACAAAATGCTTATAGTTAATGCACCTTATTCACACAAACACTAAAATATCCGGGAAAGTAAAAATGCACAAAAAAAACCATATGTAACTTTTAAAGTGATCATTATACATTTTTACTCCTGATGTTTAGGATATAAGGAAGCACCAATCCAGCGTCTGTACTTTTAATGCTGAGTTTTTTCAGCTACTAATGCGTGTAACTCTGTTATTGTAATATAAATATTGAAATTCAACATGTAATCTGTGTCCATACTAACCAGTGCCTGAAAAGTAGATGTGACTTGAGGGTTTTCTGGATAAAGAGCACAAACACTTACATTTAACTAATTTAGATTCATCGTTTTTAAATTCACATTTATAATATATATATATATATAGATAGAGCCATGGTGATGAACATACATACATACATACATACATACGTACCTACATACATGCATACAGACAGACACACATGGATGAATACATTGGCCAGACTGGAAAATCAGGCTATAGAAACGTATATGGAACAGTTTGGGATGGATTGCGCAATCAGAGGTTCAGATGTGCTTGTTGCTGCCGCACGTGTATTTCAAATGAAAATATGCAATTTCAGTGATTTTGACAATTAAAATTTTCACAATTAGTCATGCGTAAAGATCAGCACACAAATATTAATATTAATTTTATGTTTTTCTTGTGATGATGACCGGTGAGGCTCTGCCTCCCCTGACCGCACGTCCCATAAATATAAATACACAGCTATACAACTGCAGTCTGTATGGGTGTGCAAGTTGAAAACCTTGGAAAATAATACTTTTGCGCAGATTATTTCATATGTTGGCACTCCCTAATTTAAGGGTCTTCAGTTTGGCAGTTTTGGCCTCAGTTTGTGGAATCACATCATTTGTTTTTTAGGTTGAGCAGCACTGATGATGCGGGTACAGCATCAGACATCAAACTACCTCGGCATACATCACAGGACAGCCTTTTGAAAAGTTGGCGGACATAAAACCCTGAGATTTACACCGGTTCACCATCTGATCGCTGACTCCGATTCTCCACTTTGCCACATCCAAGATAGCGGCGACGTTGATGTACGATTCAGCCCTCAATGCGGCATCTATATATATATATGTCTAAGCTGATACTAACTCAAAAGAGGGGAACTGTTGATATGATGTATTGTATTTTTGTAGTCATGAATTGCATTATTACACAAATTCATCTTTTCATTTTGAAACTTAATCTCAAAGAAAAAAAATGAAGATATTAATTTGAAACTAAACAGGGGCTGCAAATTGGTGTAGTAGTTAAGACGTGGTAAGGTAGTTGTTACCTTACAGCTATACGATTCCTGTTTTGAATCCCAACAAGGGCCATTTTTGTTTAGGAGTGAGCAAGTGTGGCTGTCAGTCATCGTCTCTGTGTCATCTTGAACTAACCAGGGTTTTTGACATGGCCAGCTAGAGTAGGCTTCAGCCCCAACCACTACGCTGACATGGAGTAAGCAAGTATTGAAGTTAAAACTATGGATGAAACAAAACAAGACATTTGTCAGGGAGGTGGATCTTGGAGGGAGGACTCTGTCGCGGAGATTCAGAAACAAGGGTTTATTTTAACAAAAACGCACTCAAACGGAGTAGATGCGGGCAAAGTTCAAATCAAGGCTGTGAGAAAACTATGGACAAAGTAACAAAGCAAGATTAACATGGCTGTGGAAAAACATGGCTATGACAAAAAACGTGGCTATGGCAAAGTACAAACAAGATTAACATGGCTGTGGCAAAAACAAAGGCTATGGCAATAAAGTAAACTAGGCTATGGCATGGCTGTGACAAAATCAAACCTGACGTGGCGAGGGGTGACGAGAACAGAAAGACGAAAACAGAAGGACGAAAGCACAAAAACACACTGGCCCAGGACATGGGAAACGAGGACTATTTAAACACATGAGGGAGGGGAACCCCAGGTGTACACAATAGGTAATCAACACATGACGAGACACCAGACATTCCCCCAGACGTGACAACATTGTGAATTTGAAATCATACATGGCATGACGCCGGTCACCAAATTACAAACATTTATTTATTCAGCCAATATGTGGTGAGTAAAAGCTACACAAGGTATGAAAACAAATGTGAAACAAAATTTGAATAGGACGAGAGCCATGCCCATCATCTTCGTGCACAATTTATTCTGTTGCCATATGTTTGACTACACCCAGTCTTGAAATTGACCTTTTAAAAATTTGTTGAATGTAAAAATTAAAGTTATTTTTTCTATTGTGTTGAAAAAGAATTATACTCAGTCCGACAATAAGGTAAACCTGGAGAGTAAAACATTTTTAAATGGTGAGAGACAAAGAAGCGACTATTAAGTTTAATAATTGTTAGTTATTTTATAAAATACATCAAATGCATTTTCTGACATTTCATTTATGTGATTTGCTGTTATCCTATGATGCTAAGTACACTTTGGAGACTCCACATTTTCTCAACAAAAATGACTGTAAGATCAGAAAAGAAGCCCAATCGTCACTGCAATGCCCACTCTTCATATCAAAGATGTAGAATTTTTAACATAGCCCCATATGACACATGGGTATCATCACTCTCTTGTAGTTATGTGGAAAATGCAGAGCGGAGGAGGTTGTCCAGAACGTCCATCTGAAAAGTAAGATTCCGAAAACATTCTGATGTTACTAAAGATTTTTGATAACTACTACAAACATCAATTAAATGATTCCCTTTGGTTCTTCTACGTCTACGACATTTGTCAGCGAAGATTGAAAGTAATACTTCCTGGCCACCTATTTACTACTTTACCTGGCTTCTCTTCCCAACACCGAGATTCTTGATTTGATAGACAGTCACATGTCCATCACTGTCCCCAACAACAATACAGTCTGTCTCTGAGGCAAACATCAGAGATGTCATCTTCACGCCAGGAGCAGCAGGCTCTATTATGACTGGGTCGAGTCTAAAGAAAAGAAATACAGTGATGTGGAAAAAAACAGCGTAGTTTCGCTTCAATTAAGTGTGTCAAGTAGTGAAGCGATATCCTTAAAGGGCTGCACCCATACTAATAGAATGTGGGGTTACTGTTCGTTACCTACGTTATTCCAGGCTATACCAGGATCATGGCTAAGAAGCAAGGAATCTTCGGTGAGGTCATATACTGATCATACAGGATCAATAAAAAACTGATGCTCCTTTTATAACCTCAGACAATTATTAAACATAATTAACACCCGTTCTGCTTTCAAAGTTTCTGAGGCTATTGAGTAAAAAGGCATTTGACATTGGACTGCACTTCATCCTTCAACACCCGACACTCCAGGGACATACACCAGGATCCTGTCCGTGAAGTTTTGCTCTGCATTCAACACCATCATTCCAGAAACCCTCCATCAGAAACTCTCACAGCTCACAGTGCCAGCCTCCACTTGTCAGTGGATCTTCAACTTCAACTTCACAGACAGGAGGCAGCAGGTGAGGCTGGGTGGTAGTGTTGTCTTGATACCGATACTAAGGAAAATATTCGATACTCTATACCATTTTCGATACCACAAGGATAAAAACAAAGACCCCAAAATTTAACTGAATTCCGACATTTCAAACTTACCTATTGTTGATGTTATTGTGGCCGGTGGCCCGCATTAAAGTTGGTGGTTTATTATTATCCAGTAGCCGCATGGGGGGGGGGGGGGGGGGGCAAAGTTTTGAAAATTAGTATAAAATTAGTTTTAAAAAATTGGGAGACTTTTGACAACCCTACTGTTAGAATTTGGCTAAAATGACTATATGAATTACGGATAGTTTTCTTTTCTTTTATAACTATATTTTGTGTTGAAGTCTCTGGCTGTGCTCACAGACTTTCTCCTCTCTTTTCCTTCTCTCTCCTTTTCTTTCTCTGTTGCATTAGATCCACGTCTTTAGGTCAACACAAACACACACCATTTGGTGCCACATTCCAATGTCATCAACATGAATTAGGACCCGGCTTGTTAGTCTCAGAGGTAACTAGCCAATAGGACTTGGTTGTGTCCAGTCCTCCTTTGAGGGGTGTGCCCAGCCCAGGAGACAAAGAACCATCACACACGGAGTTCAGGGATCTTTGCCGACTTAGGGGTTTTTGTCTGTGAAGATCCCACCACTGATATACTTAACTGTGTCCAATAAATTCCAGACAACAATTGCCTGGGATCTCAAGTGGAAGTCCCACATAGACTTTGTCAGGAAAAAGGCGCAGCAAAGGTTGTACTTTTAGCGACAGCTGCCTCAGGACCTGCTGATCATCTTCATCACCTCCATCATCCAGTCCTGTGTACATTGATCACTGTCTGGTTTGGAGGCCACTAAACAGGACAGGTAAAGATTGCAATGGACAATTATGTTTGTTTATGTTTATGCATTTGGCAGTCGCTCTTGCCTCTTTTAAGGCTTCAGTCACAGTCAACAGAGCCGTTTCAGTGGAGTGGCCACTTTTAAACCCAGATTGATTTGTATCAAGAAGATTGTTTTGTGAAAGGTAGTCTGTGACCTGCTTAAAAACTGCCCTTTCAATGGTCTTTGACAGAAATGGAAGTAGAGAAACCGGACGATAGTTTTCCACCTGAGTTGGTGGGAGAGAGGGTTTTTTGAGCAGCAGTGTGACCAAAGCTTGCTTGTATGAGCTGGGAAATGTACCTGACATCAGCGAAGCATTGATAACATGTGTGACTGCTGCAGTTACTGTAGGAGCTATGGACTCGTGTAAGTTTGTAGGAACTGGGTCCAGCAAGCATGTAGTAAGACGCCTAGATGTGAGAAGTTTGGACACATTGCTCTCAGTGAGAGGAGCGAAGGAAGAGAACAAAGCAGTAGAACTTCTGCTTGTATATGTACTGTGAGAAGTTTCAGGTGCAGGCCGTTCAGTAAACTGTTTGCTTATAGCTGCCACTTTGTCAGTAAAAAATTAGGCAAACGTGTCTGCCGTTAAGCTAGTAGCAGGTGGCGGAAGAGGAGGTTTAAGCAGAGTTTTGAAGATGGAGAATAATTTTTGAGTGTCGGTTGTACTGTGAATCTTATCAGTATAGAAAGCCTTTTTTGCATCAGTGATGCTTAAAGAGAATGCAGACAGCAGTGCCTGAAATTTTGTTAGATCTTCTGGATATTTTTATTTACGTTCTGCAGCCCTGAGGCTGGTGCGTAGTGCTCTGAGTGTATCATTAAGCCATGGGTGGGACCCAGAAGCTCAAGCAGGTTTAGTGGATAGAGGACATAGACTATCCAGGAAGGAGCTCAATCTAGAGCAAAGGGTCTCCGTGGCCTCATTAACCTCAGGTGAGGAAAATGTGCTGGAGTTTGGGAGAGCGGACGCAACATGGGAGGAGAAGTGGGTAGGTGAGAGCTTGCGGAGGTTTTTGCGGAAGGAAACTACAGAGGTGGAAGCAGAGGGATTTTTTGGAAGATTTGCACTGAGTTTAATGAAATAGTGATCAGAAAAGTGCAGAGGTGTGACAGAGAGGGCCTCTTCAGCACATTTTCTTGTGAAGATGAGATCAAGTGCTTTGCCGGCTTTGTGAGTTGGAGGACTGCTGACCAGTTGTAGGTCAAAGGAGTTCATTAGTGAGAGAAAATCAGAGGAGTTAGCGCAGTCAAGGTGGATATTCATATCACCAAGGACCATTGTGGGACAATCATATTCATGGATGGAGGAGAGTAAGATATCAAGTTCATCTAGAAAGTCGCCTAGTTGTCCTGGTGGGCGATAAATGACCAGTGGTGGACCGTCAGGGCCTTCAAGGCCTTCTCTGAAGGCCTAAGAAAATATCTGAATCACAGACTGATGTTAATTATATTTTGTCCATGAAAACTTATTAAATATCTCGAAATAGTCTGTCAGCTTCCTTTCATAGCTTTCCCCCTGGTTGCGCCGCTTCCAGACATGTATTTTCATATAAAAGCATTTAACCAATCACATTTCAGACATCCTTTGTCGCTAGGCAGGGTCAAAGTCAAAGATGTCTGCCAGGAGGCCTTCACAATCCGTTCTGCAGGCCCCCCCCCACAGAAAATACATGTCGAGTACATTGTTGCTTCAACCAATCAGATTTTATGTTGGTCATGCCAGGGCCTGCCCGAAGGCCCGGGAAATGCCACCGTACCCACACCCGCTGATTGGATAGTCAGATATCCAATCAGGGCAAAGCTAGCAAACAAACCGAAATATAGTTGTGTTGGTGTAATAGCTATTTTATGATTTCGTGGCGGATTTACTGTCAAGACCATTTTCAAAACGGACTTTTCAAGAAAAGTAAGTGAGTAAAATGTAGTTTTTTTCCTAAATGGTATTGCGAGTTTATGAGGATATTATTGATGTTTTTTTGTTTTTTTTTTGGGGGGGGGGGGTCGCAGCTGTAGCTGCAGGAGTAGAAGACTTGTGCACCCCTGATCTTTAGACTGTATTTTAGGATCCTGATCCGATATTTGGATCGTATCGGCCGGCATGAGAAAATGCCAATCGAGACTCCAGATACATTTTTTTTAAAAGTCCGATCCCACCCGAGCACAGAGTCTGTGTAAACTTTAGTTGTTATAAGAGTAAATACCTGTTCAACATGAGTCTGACAACTAAGTAAGTAGAAAAAAAAATTCAACTTTAATACAAAAAGCTGGATCGGGACATCCCTACTGTATTTCTACATAATAAGATGATTTCTATAACCATAAAATAGTTATTGAGGGGTGAATTGATTCAGACGGAGCACTACTGAAGGCCTAGGTGTGAAATGCACGGTCCGCCACTGTAAATGACAGTCATGCAGATTTTGACTGGTGCAGTGACCAAGATGGCATGGTATTCGAAAGTATTGTATTTGGCATTAGGCATTAGTTGGGTGTATTTCCATTTGTTGGAAATTAGCAAGCCTGTTCCACCACCTCGCCCAGACGTACAAGAGGTGTGGGAGAATGTGCGGTTGATTGAAAGTGCAGCCGGGGTAGCGCTGTTTTCAGGCTTAATCCAGGTCTCAGTGAGAGCCAGGATGTCAAGTGACAGGTGTTTGGCATAAGCAGTTATGAAGTCAGCTTTGTTTACTGCCGATTGGCAGTTCCAAAACCCCACAGACAATGGTGTGTCACAGGGGGAGGTTTTCTTTAAGAGAGCGGAGGTTATGAAGGTTGCGGTACCGTTTGGTAATGCGAGACCTTCTGCATGAGCTAGTGACAACAGGAATGGAATCAGGTCTGCAGGAAAAATCACTGGGGCCGACCTGTCCCCCATTATACAAGTCCAGTCAGGAAACGGGCAGGAAGCATCACTGCAGACCCCTCACACCCTGCACAAAAACTGATTGAACTGCTTCCCTCTGGTATGTGTTACAGAACTCTGTTCACCAAGACTGCCAGACACAAAAACTGTTTCTTCCCCAAGGCTGTCTCTCTGATTACTCCATAATTCAGATGTCAACTGGACCCCTACCCACACAATTTGTTAAAGGCTATCTCCCTTCTCTGGTCCCCCTTATTTATTCCATTATCCACTCATCTGTCACCACTGGAACTGTCCCTACATCCTTCAAAACTGCTGCCATTACCCCAATTTTGAAAAAGCCTGGCTCCGACCACATTAACTTCAACAACTTCTGTCCTCTCTCATCAACCCTTCATTTCCAAAATCCTTGAAAAAATAGTTGCCTCGCAACTCCACTGTCACCTATCCCACAATAACCTGTATGAATGGTTCCAGTCCGGTTTCCGCCCATTTCATAGCACTGAAACAGCACTCAACAAAATCACCAACGATCTCCTCATGGCAGCTGATTCTGGACTCACCATCCTCATCCTTCTTGACCTGAGTGCTGTCACGAAGGTGCCCTGGTGAAGGGGTTTTTGTCTCGTCTTTTTCTAGTCTCGTCATTTCCTGTTTTACTTTGAAGAATAACCCTCATCTCGTTTCAGGTCACTTGCACTTCCTGTTGTGTCACCAGTCTGAGCGTCTCCCTGATTACCTATTGTCTGCACCTGGGCATCCCTTCCCTCTCGTGTTCAAATAGTCCTCGTCTCCCCTTGTCCTGTGCCAGTGTGTTTCGTTCCCAACCACAGAGCCTGTCTTATCCTTAGCCCTCGTCACAGTCATAGCCCTTGTTCCTTGCCTTCTGAGCCCCTTAGTTTTTGCCTCTGCCACGAGTGCGTCTTTTTCCCTCCTAGAAGTAACATTCCTAGTGAGTATTTCTGTTGCTACTTTTGTTTCCTGTCCAGCCTCCTTAGTGAGAGATTTACGTTGTTACTTTTCAGCTTTGTTTTGTAACTTTTCCCAGCCTCGGTTCGAGTGCTTTTTCTGTTGATACTTTGTCCTCCGTTACGGAGCGCCTTGTGTTTGTGTTTTGCCCTCTCATTCGAGAGCGCCCTTTGTTAATAAATTTTGTATTTTTGAACCCACTCTGCGCCTGAGTCCTCCTGCGTCCACGGACGTGACAAGTGCAGCTTTTGATACCAACTGTCACAACACCCTCCTCAACAGGCTATCTTTCATTGGCATCACCCACAGTTCATTAGACTGGTTTAGTCAGTTCATTCAGCTCAAGTCCTTTAAATCCATCCCCTCCCTCGTCACTTCACGGGTGCCCCAGGGTTCAGTCCTGGGGCCCCTCCTCTTCATCATCTACCTCCTTCCCCTTGGCAGTATCTTCTGAAAATGTTACTTTTATTTCCACTGTTATGCTGATGACACCCAGCTGTACCTCACTACTAAACCCAAACTTTTCCCCCCACTTCCCTCACCGATTGCATCTTTAAGTTTAAACCTGGTTTACCCAAAACTTCCTTAAACTAAACAGAAACAAAATCGAGGTTCTCCTCATTGGCACCAAATCCACCTTATTCAAAACCAACTACTTTTCTCTCACAAATGATAACTCCACCGTCTCTCTTCTTTGGTCTCCCTCACAAATACCTCCATAAACTTCAGCTGGTCCAAAAATCAGCTGCCTGCCTCATAACTCAAACCCCCTCGATCCACCAAATCACTCCCGTCCTCCTACAGCTCCACTGGCTCCCGGTTCAGTTCTTTATTCAATTTTAAATTCTCCTGCCAACATTTAAGTCTATCCACAGCCTCGCTCCCTCATATCTGTGACCTTATCCATGTTACCACTCCCTCCCGCTCCCTCAGTTCTTCCTCCTCCATACACCTGTTTGTCCCCTCCGCCAGTCTCAGCACCATGGGGAGCAGAGCATTCAGCTGCTCTGCTCTGGAAGTCATTACCATCCAAACTCAGAAACATCGACTCACTCCCCCATTTCAAATCACAACTCAAATCACATCTGTTTAAGACTGCCTTTTCTATCTGAGGCCTATGGATATTGCCATTGTCTATTTTATTGATTTTTATTGTTGTTTCTTTTAATGCATTTCTGTATCTGTGTACGGTGTCCTTTAACAAGAGTGAATCCAAACAGTTAAGAAACAAAGAATGGTTGTATGACCCCTATATTTAGACAGTAAAAGCTGTAAGAATATTAAATCACTTTTGGAGGGACCCAGATCAGATGGAGACCTTGGTTTTCCAGATTTTACATTTTATTGCCGCGCAGCCAATCATAGAATAATTCAGTCTGGTTACAAGATATCTATGCTCTTCCCTCATTAATCTGACCAAGCCAACCTCAATGACAACAGTATCTTTATTTTCTACTCCTCACTCCTTGATAACGAGCCTTAATAGATGCTTTTTCAAAGTAAAGAGACGCGTGAATTCAGCTCTAGGCTCTCACAACTGAAACCTAACTTTCGGTGTAACTAGAAGGGCTTTAACATCCAATTACAATAGAATTTCTTCCTACAGACTGTCTTGCTTGGTAATATCAAATCTGTATGGGAGAGGGAACCCTTATTCAAGATGAAATATGGTAAGCGGCATTTCACAGGATACATACATCCTCAGAATGTGCCAAACATGGTGTTATACAATAAAAATGAAAAACAGATATGTTGTCTTTTGTTAGATGGCCTAATGCACACAAAAGTCAACCTGTTAATCACTTGCATGCTTCAAAAGAATAAATTCATGTCACGTTTTCTTGAAAATCAATCAGGCAGAGGCCAAGATTAAAATTCTTGGCCTCTTCTTGCAGTTGAACCCAAAACTATCTTAAACACTGTGAAAAGATACCTGTGGCGCCTTAAAACATTGATTGAAAACTGCTCTTGCATTAAAATTGTGATATAACAACTTTACTATTCTCCCCAGTATAGATAATGGGATATATGTCTTGGATGTGTTTACACGAAAAAGAGAGATTTCTGAGAGATTTCTGGTACTTTTTCCTGTGGACAATTATTTGTACAAATAGAGTTTCTACAACATTGAAAAGCCTTAAATTAGCTTTTCCCACACTGCTTCTACATTTTTTTATATAACAATGGTACAGTATAAAATGCCATATATTGCTGTTCACTTTAAGTTATATTTAAATTAAGGACATGAAACCTTAGAAATGGAAAAGGAAAGCAGACAGATTAATTACTTACAAATTTGAACTCAGGTCCCAGATTTCAAGCTGCCCCTCATAAGCAACTCCGAATACTGTGGCCTTCTGTGGGGACCATTTAATGTCACACACGGCCCTATGGGCAGAGGTGAAGCAAATTATAGGGTTCAGGCGGTCCTGATGCCATAGATGGATGGTCCAGTCAGCTCCGCAGCTCAGAAACATACCAGGATGGAGTGGACACCATACGACACAGTTCACAGCAGACTGAGAGAAAAAAAAACATCAATATTTCTAGCGGAATCTCTCATTATTCTCAGGCAGAACGCAGTCATGTGTTTTTTCTATTGGACTTCAATACCTGAAGGCTTATGGTAAGCTGTTTGATTTTTAGTTTTGGCTAAGAATTTAAACATAAACAGTTTATCAACAGCCAGAGCAAAACTTTTGGATTCCTTGCCAAGATATATTTATCCATCCATCCTCTTGGCCCAATTATTCCCTAATTGGGCCAAGAGGGGTAGTCAATGGGCGAGAGGCAGGGTACACCGTGGATGCTCCGCCAGTCCATCGCAGGGTCACACAGAGACACACAAGGACACTCACTCCAAAGGGCAATTTGGAATGTCCAATCAACTTAGCATGCAGGTTTTTGGATGGTGGGAGAATGCCGGAGAACCCGGAAAGAACCAACGCAGACACAGGGAGAACATGCAAACTCCAAACAGAAAGGTTCTCGACCCCGGGGACTCGAACCCAGAACCTTCTTGCTGTGAGGCAATGATGGTAACCACCACATCACGTGCCGCCCTGCCAAAATATTTTTAAGGGAGTCTCCGTGCTGTGGAAGACGCCCTGCCTCGTTCCTGTGCCTAAGACGCCGCGTCCTAACGGCCCTCAGGACTACAGGCCGGTGGCACTGACGTCCCACATCATGAAGACCTTCGAGAGGCTAGTTCTGGAACAGCTAAGGCCTATGGTCAGGCCCTTCATGGATCCACTACAGGTCAGTATCATCTACCTGCTGAACAGAGTCTACACTCATCTGGACAAGCTGGTGAGCACTGTGAGGATCATGTTCTTTGATTTCTCCAGTGCTTGCAACACCATCCGTCCGGCTCTACTGGGTGAAAGATGACGGCGATGCAGGTGGATGCCCCCATCGTCTCCTGGATTGTTGACTATCTGACGGGCAGACCACAGTATGTACGCCTACAGAACTGTGTGTCTGACAGGCTGATCAGCAACACCGGGGCCCCTCAGGGGACTGTCCTCCCTCCATTCCTCTTCACCGTCTTCACCTCAGACTTCAGCTATTGCACTGAGACCTGCCACCTTCAGAAATTTTCTGATGACTCAGCAATAGTTGGCTGCATTGAAAGGGGCGATGAAGGTGAATATAGGACTGTGGTGGGCAACTTTGTCACCTTGAGTAAACTGAACCATCTGCAGCTCAATGTGACAAAGACAAAGGAGCTGATAGTGGATCTGAGGAGGGCCAAAACACCTATGACCCCTGTTGTCACCCAGATGCACCACAGAGCGCCACCGGAAATCCTTCCTGCCTGTGGTCATCAATCTGTACAACGCCTCCCTCTGAGAGTCAAACTTAATCATTGACACTATCCACCACTTATTTTATATATCTAGCTATATTATATGAGGAATTTTGTATATATATATGTATATATGTACAGACATGTATATATGTATATGCCTTTGTTTTACTTATGGAGCCTGTAACAAAAATAATTTCCCTCTGGGATTATTAAAGTATTTCTGATTCTGATTCTGATTCTCATATATGAGATATATGGTAGAACCTCTAAGAATTGTAGCGGGACCCTACTTCGTATGTTAAAATATTCGTATCGTCCTACAATAACTCCTTAATAAATACTGTGACTGAGATACAGTACGTACCGTAACTTACTCTAACTTTCACTACGTGAACTTTTAAATATCCATCCATCCATCCATTATCGTTACCGCTTATCGTTATTCCCTAATGGGGTCACGGGGAGAACTTATTTATTATTATTTAATTTCTATATTTTATTTATATTTTTCTATGACCTATGACTGATATTTGATCAAATTTCACTTTGCATGTTGGAAAATTCGTATGTGTAACGTAGTTACTCTAGAACTGAGTTCGTTTTTGTTTTCATCACTAACTCTCCTGTCATTTCAGATCCGGCCCTTCCCTGTCATGCAATCACTCATTCCCCCTCACCTGCTTCTCTCCGCCCATCTCCTCACCTGCTGTTCATTAGCTCATTTGGTCCTCAGTATTTATACCACTCCATTTCCACTTGTTCCCTGCCAGATTGTCTTGTGCTATTCCGTGCCAAGCTTTCCCGCATTCTCTTGTTCTGCCTGCCTGTACTGACCTTACGTTTGCCTTCTTGGATTTTGTATTCCTGCCTGCCCCTTGTCGGATTTGGCGCTATATAAATACAATTTAATCTAATTTAATTGAATAGATTCAACCACACGAGAACCAAGACATGCTACAACAGACAGTCTGGCACTTATAACAAAGAAAAACAGCTACAGTAAGCAGTGAACTGTGAGACATAACATACATACAGTATATTTACCATACTTACAAATTGCAGGTAGCGTGACATAAACAAAATCAAATCTTTGCAGGAACATGAGTGGTTTTAAACATAATAGACTTACAAAATGCTTTTGATAAGTCTCCAAAGACTGCTGACTGTTTGAACAGGAGCACCTGTGGATGAGACCTTCCCATGTGCCTGTCAAGTAGTTACTGTAATCCTGCAGGAACAATGTTATCACAGAACAAAATTGTAAAGATCATTTAAAAAGACATTGTATCATAAGAAGTAGAATGCCTATCCTTGGTGGAAACCAAATATAAAATAAATACAATTTTCCTAACAACTTACTGTTGGATGAAAGTCAAAACACAGACCGGGAGTCACTGCAGACAGAATTTTTTTTCTTGTCTCCTTTGTCTTGTTTCCTCCAGATTTCCTCTTTGTATTGCTGATTTTGTCAAGTTTCATCAGGTCTAACACAACAATCATGTTATTAATAATGATCATGACAGTATCTATTATAACAAAAATAATAAATTAATTGCCATTCATTCACACTGCATTAATCTGTCAGAATAAGTTTTCATGTCTCATGCAGCCTGATAATTGGCAAAAAAGGTCAGTTTACATAATTACTAATGCTGTAATAACTGGTCATAACAAGTTTTTCTGGATTTTACTAGAGTCCCACATTCGCAAAACTAACAAATTTCTGCAAGGGGTGAGAGCACTATCACTGCCATCCATCATTGTAGTAAGAAATCCTGGCAGCATGCATTCTATTTGATGAGAAATTCTATGCGGAGAGCACTGTTGGAACTAAACTTATTGATGCCCATATGGACTTTGAATGAGGTTGCCTGAAATTTAGATACACTGATGCCCAAATGTTAAGGGCCCAGGAGAATGCTGCAATGAACTTCAGCCACACTACCAGACCAAAATAACACTAGAAATAGTAAATGGACTGCTTTATCAGAGGGTGAACTTATTTCTCATGGGAGATGTTTCGTGTTAGGGTTGGTGTCTCATTAGCTAGTCACAGATCTGCTGTAGGTCATACACAGGAGCCCAGTACCTGTGCAATTCTCCTCTGTAAGTTTTTGAGCAAGCAAAGTAAGAGTGTCACTAGCCTACTACATTTAAGTGTTCACAGTGGTCTGAAGGCGCACAGTTTTAACAGACTCGCTGAGCGCCTGTACCATGATATTGTGCACCAATAGGGGGGTCCCCAGCCCCCTAAAACATTTCAGAGTGACTTGCTGGCATCCTTGAGCTGCCAGTTACATCAAACGGGAACATATAAGTGCTGGTCCTGCAAAATTACTTAATTGAATTTACTAATTTATATGCTGTTTCCAGACCAAAAAATTACACATTTGAGGATTAAGTGCTAGTTCATGGAGTTCAAAAGACTATTAACAGGGGATCAGGGTTTGCAGTTTGAAGATTCAGACTCTTTTGGGTATCCTTTCAGCAGTACAGAAAACAAGCGAGTAGTACAATATAGGAGACTACATTGTCTGAAACTACAAACACTACCGATGACTTCTGCTCTCCGAGCAGCCTCTGGAGTGGTGTTTGAGCAGTTAAATGTAACATGCTGAATGAATATTAAGACCTTTATGTTTGTAAGCAAGACAGTATATAGTTCTGAAGATGATCTCCTAATGAGATTAGACATTAAAAAGTCACTGCTGTTCTTGCTAGTGAATGTTGAATGCTATGTGTGGTTCTTTCGTTTTCATAGGCCGTATAAGTTCAAGAGAGGCCCTTGGTTACACAGGCATTTAGCTCCAAGCAGTGCTATTCAAAAGATATCTTCTGGACCAATGTTTTAAAAATGTGAGTGTACTTTAGATTTTTATAGAATATTTTTTAGTTTACCTTTAAAAAGATTAATTTTCTGAATTGACAACAATAAATCCACAGATTATTCCAGAGTACAGTACCTATACAGTCAAGGCCACCATTGAGGACAAACCACTTGGTGATCCTGCCATCTGCACCAACAGAGAAGAGAGTCTCTTCCTTCTCTTCACCTATCAAGTTTAGCTCTTGCTTGTTCCACCTGAGCTGCCAAACTGGCCCAAAGTGCTTATTTGGGCAATCACTAAAAAGAACACACAAAAAAAGACAAAACAGTGTAACCAGGTTTAGTTTTAGCTTAGGATGGAGAGACTGCACAATACATGCCCACACAGTCCTCACCAGTTATTGATGACACCTAACTTGTTATTTGGACTCTGCAAGTCATAGATAGCTATGCTGCCATCGTACATCCCCACAGCAAGCTGACTGGGGCAGGTGGCTGAGAAATCCAGAGAAGTCACAGCACTCTCACATTGGATAATATGCTCAGGCCACTACAGCAGGAAAAACATAATAGTTTGAGTTTTTTCAATGTGAATAAATGTGTCAATCATCAATATGCATTCTGAGGAGAAAACATGAGGATGATCCCTAAAAGTTAGACACGTTCAAATGAAGTCAAGAAAGAAGTGCATACCATGGGATTTTTGACTGACCAGCAACACACTAGACCTGGTTTCTCATTCTTGGAGTCAAACACACCATATCCTACTGCCAGGAGGTCCTAGCAGTCAAAACAGGTCAAATGCATTTGTAATTCAATTAATGAACAGGTCACAGAATCATAAAATTCACAAATGAAAGATTCTTACTTTCTAAACAAAAATGCACTCACATGCAATCACATATAGTGGATTTTTCTTATTAAGGTTTACCTATAAAATATTTTAAAATTGTTTTTCCATTGCCCCAACGCAATCATTGACAAATCTGACTACAGAACATACTATACATACAACAGTATATACTTCTATTTTATGTTCAGCTTAGATGAACTCATGCCAACACTAGAATATTTCAAAGTCAGACTCATCTAACATGAGTTTTAATCCTTGCACATTATTGACCAAAATTTGTGTGGACTCCCAGTATATTTTTTACATTATTTCACATACTAAAGATTATAAAGGTATTTTGAAATTCTGTATTTGCATTGATTTTCAATTATTTCAATGATGGAATCGGCATAAGAACCTAAACTTATCTTTGCTTGAAAAGATTAAACTTTTGGTTGATTGTCCTGTTATCCCAGTCCCAACAGTTTGCCTACTCTATCTTACTTGGCAGTTCCTGCATCTTGGATTTTAGAAAACATAAACTTTTAAGGAAGGGATGGTTTGGAGATAAAAGTATTATGTTCTCATTAAGAATGATACAACATATTTCGTTTATCTATACTTAAGACCCCTTTTCTTCTTAAATGTATCGTTTGTGCACTTTGCAATTAGTTGTTCTCTGGTATCTGTTACCGGATTCTTCTTATTCCAACCCATGCTGCTGATGCAATATCCTCTGCAAAGCTCACAACTGAAAATCCATAGACATTCCAGGGCTGGAGATTGACAAACTTCTTTATCCCCATGTTCCTGCTCCACTTGCTGAGGATGCTTAAAGCCGTCTGGTTCTGACAAAAAATATTACTCATACTAATTTATTTGCATTCCATTTATCAATATTATTATCACCAGTTATGTTTAGTAATACAGCTAAAAGAGAACAACCGCTTCAGTTGTCGAGATTACCTTTTAATAGGGAAAATTGTCTGTAAGCAGCCAACTGATATTGGAAGATGTTCCACAGGACATTCCTCTCCATTACAAGTAGAGAATGTTGGAATTTCTCAGACAACAAGATGAAATTCAAGTCCAACTCATTGTTTATCCAGTTTTTGAATACGTCAACTTCTTTCTGGGAGTTAGAAGTGCTGACTTAAGGGAAATGTGTATAAGAAAAATGTAAATTACATTACAGATATGAATAAGAAATGGGTATGGAAAAAAGTAAACGGAAGGCATAGAGACATTGGCAATGTATAATGATTAAATGATGTTGATAATTATTACTTATTCAAAAGGTAAATAACAGTAGTTTCTCTTGACAATCATGATATACTTTCATTATATATGGTTTACTGTGAGCAGGATTGGCCTAATTTTAGATTGAAGTTGAAGAAACTTCAAACTCATTTCACTCTTTTGTTTCAGTGTGTTTATATATTTATCATCAGTATTGTCACATTGAAAGTAATAGTAATAATATTCCTAATACCACCTCTACTACTATAACAACTAAATCAAATGATAACAAGAAGAAGATGAAGAAGAATGAAAATAAAGATAATGATAATAATGCTTTCATTGTTACCATAAGTAGATGTACTGCCAACTGACAGGCTCCTTTCTGCACTTTTGTTAGCATCCAGAATAGCCTCTGCATAGTCAATCTCAGGCCTGTTTGTTTTTCCATCTTCCTCCGAGCTGTGGTGTATATCACAATAGGAAACAGTGGTGGCTGTGGGCATGGAAGAACACTGTACAGTATATTCTGCTTTGACACTGATAGTACACAACATAATGGTTAAAGATATAACTATACTAAAAATATCAGTACTAACACAATCACAAATAATGAACTCATTCATCAAATTTCTCTGACGAAAAAATGTTTATCGCAGTTATTCTTCAGATGTTTGTCTTATGATGTTTGACTAGTGAAAATTGGTAATAATCATGATTTAAGACACAATCTCAGAAGATGTCATGCACTGAACTTGTTAAAAGCAATACCTGTTCAGTTATTAAAACACTGCAACATAAATAGGGTAGGCAAAGGTAACCATCGGACTGAAAAGTAACTCACTACTCCATTCAAAACTCATGAAATAATTCCTCCTTTAAATTGATCTCCAAAAATACTGGGCTGAAACATATTCCCTTATTCTGCTTTAAAAAACAAACAACATTTCTAAAAAGCTAATAAGGTTAGGGTTTTGACGCTAATTCTATTTTCCTTTTAACAAAAGTTTCTAATAGCGGACCTTTGCAAACAATGACAAATTACGCAAATCACAATTGACTGAGAGAAAATACAGAAGGATAATTACAATAAGCATGGCTTGATAAAAAAAACAAAACCATTAAACAAACTATTGGTGAAGTATTAGTAATCAATTTATTTCACTAGTTAAATTATCTAACGGCAGTTAAAAAAGATGACTAGTTGATATAAAGTTTTTTTAATTTCTCCTGCACACTCAGGATGGGGAATAGTTCGCGGAGTGTATTCTGATTTTATTTCATGGCACTGGAATTTAAAAACTAGAACTATAATTAATTAGATTACTATTGTTTTACGGTGGTTTGGATTAAGATTGGCTTGAATTGGGCTGTATCTTTGGAGTATACAGACATAACATTTGGCTGTATTTGGCACTTTATATATATATATGTAATTGAATATTAATAAATTGCTCATGCTAGTGTAGAACACTCTTGTAATAAAACAAAATATCCAAGAAACAAACATAAATAATTGGTTCTTAATGACTTACTGAATTGGTAGAAATGTCAACAGCCAAATACATGCTCTTTGTTATAACATAGAAAATTCTATCATGTGTACTTTCTAACTTTTTATTTCCCCTTTCACACATTTTCACAAATAATCACTTGAAAAGAGTAAAACTACAAAACAATCTAACCTGCTTCCACCATGACGGTGTTGTAGCTTTGGAGCTGTTTGCTTTTTGTTGCAAAGTTTAATGTCTGCATGGATCGATCCACATACTTAGCGTTTTTTGTTCTGGTCTTACAAATTCCCGTATACCAATGATTTCTCTCTCTGTGAAAACAAAATGGAGATAACATCAATTTCGGCAACATATCATTTGAGTTCCTGTCCCATACTGTATGCATATATGTGTTGGAGTCTGTAGAATATCTTGTTGACTTTTCTGTTGGAACATGAGATCCATCATTCTAAAGTAATTTAATAGCTAATGTAAGATTCTGAAAACAATTTGAAAGGACTTCACTTACATGAGAGATTCTGCATTATCAACTTCCACGGAGACAAAAGTGGGGTACATGTCCAGCAATAAAATGGTGTCTGTCTCAGTGATAAATATCTCAACATATTCTTTCAGCATGTCCTCTGTCACTTGCTTTTTCACTATATTTATTTTCTGCTTCTCGTATGGCTGAGTAGCTAAAACAAAAATGAAAACATGCACCACAGAGAACATGCTGCCACAATAAGCCATAGCAATGATGCATATCAAAATGTCATAGTTTGTATTTTACAAAATATACAACAAGAACAAAATCTTACTCAAATGCACAAGATGGAAAACAATCATGAATAATTTTGCAGTAATGAACCTTGAAAAGTGATGGGTATATCACATTTGGAAAACGTATCCTGAGTTTCTTCATTCACTGACTCGATTGTAGATTGACTTGATATTCTGCTACTACCCAACACCGACCTGAAAATGTACAAGCAAAACATATTTTGCAAAATTACAAACAAGTACAGGGGTTGGACAATGAAACTGAAACACCTGGTTTTGGACCACAATACTTCATTAGTATGGTGTAGGTCCTCCTTTTGCGGCCAATACAGCATCAATTTGTCTTGGGAATGACATATACAAGTCCTGCACAGTGGTCAGAGGGATTTTAAGCCATACTTCTTGCAGGATAGTGGCCAGGTCATGACGTGATGCTGGTGGAGGAAAATGTTTCCTGACTCACTCCTCCAAAACACCCCAAAGTGGCTCAATAATATTGAGATCTGGTGGCTCTGCAGGCCATGGGAGATGTTCAACATCACTTTCATGTTCATAAAACCAATCTTTCACCAGTCTTGCTGTGTGTATTGGTGCTTTGTCATCCTGATACACAACACCTCCTTCAGGATACAATGTTTGAACCATTGGATGCACATGGTCCTCCAGAATGGTTCTGTAGTCCTTGGCAGTGACGTGCCCATCTAGCACAAGTATGGGGCCAAGGGAATGCCATGATATGGCAGCCCAAACCATCACTGATCCACCCCCATGCTTCACTCTGGGCATGCAACAGTCTGGGTGGTACACTTCTTTGGGGCTTCTCCACACCGTAACTCTCCCGGATGTGGGGAAAACAGCAAAGGCGGACTCATCAGAGAACAATACATGTTTCACATTGTCCGCATCCCAAGATTGCACTCCTTGCACCATTGAAACCGACGTTTGGCATTGGCACGAGTGACCAAAGGTTTGGCTATAGCAGCCCGGCCGTGTATATTGACCCTGTGGAGCTCCCGATGGACAGTTTTGGTGGAAACAGGAGAGTTGAGGTGCACATTTAAGTCTGCCGTGATTTGGGCAGCCGTGGTTTTATGTTTTTTGGATACAATCCGGGTTAGCACCCGAACATCCCTTTCAGACAGCTTCCTCTTGCGTCCACCGTTAATCCTGTTGGATGTGGTTCGTCCTTCTTGGTGGTATGCTGACATTACCCTGGATACCGTGGCTCTTGATACTGTGACGTTCTGGCTCCGCCCACCGGCTCAGCCGCCGGTAATCAGC